TAAAACATTAAAAATTCTCTCTCTCTCTCTCCTCTCTCACTCCCTCTTTAAAAAAAATGTGGTACATATAAACACAATGAAATATTACTCAGCTATAAAGAATGAAATTATTTGCCTGTAAATGGATGGAACTGGAAATTATCATGCTCAGTGAAATAAGTCAATCCTGAAAAACCAAAAGCTGAATGTTTTCTCTGATATGTGGATGCTAATCCACAATAAGGTTGGGGTGGAGGTAGAATAGAAGTACAATAGATTAGACAAAGGGGAATGAAGGGAAGGGGATGGGAATAGGAAAGACAGTAGAATGAATCAGACATCACTTTCCTGTGTTCATATATGAGTACACCACAGTGGAACTCCACATCATGGACAACCACAAGAATGGGAAGTTAGACTCCATGTATGTATGCTATGTCAAAATACACTCTATTGTCATGTATACCTAAAAAGAACAAATAAAAATAAATTAGAAGAAGAAGATCGGTTTCAGAAGGCATTCCAGAGCCCCCTTGGATGCTCAAGAAATAAATGGAAATCCTCCAGAAAAGAATAAAAATGCTGGTCCCTTCTGTTCCACTCCTGGAGTCCTGGGAGGCTTTCCTAAAATTAAATTAATTCTCTCTCTGTCTCCAGATCCAGTGAGCCGAGCCACCTGACTCGACTCCACATTTTCCCCGGCGTAATGTATACCAGGCAGAATATTGAAAAGTATTCCCAAAGTAGTAGAGTTTGAATTAATTACTTACTTTATTTAACTTCTACAGTTCTAAAACTGAAGTGTCTCATAGGTGATCTTTCGGAGGCTAGATGACGTGGAAAGATTTGAGTCATTGGCCAAATATTTTGTTCTCTTCTCCCTTTCCAGATGTAAAAGCCATTAGTTGCTAAGGCTGCCTCTGTGTTGCTGTAAAATGGGAAACAGAATGCTTTTCTCAGAAATATTAGATACTCCAAAAGTTTCTTTGGAAGCTCAGCATTCAGAGCATCTGTAACATAAGGCTGGAAACTCAAAGGGACCTCTCCCTTGATACTTGCTACGAATTTATCAGGCTCTTCTGAATCTGCTAAATCATCTTGACGGCTCACTGCAGCATTCGCAAGAACACACGCACCATTTGGTCATGGAGATCACCTTTTTATTTTTTAAAGAGTCTAAACAAGCCAAAAAGCTTGCAAGTAATTTGGGACTAAAGAGAAACACATTTCCTACAGGTCCCTCGGCTGACACCCCGGGGCTGGTTCCCTGGGGTCGGGCAGGCAGCAGGCTCCAGTGCTTCTCAGGAGCTTGATCCTATTTTCCAGCCCAGGTTTTGGGACTACCCATTTCCTTTTCAGTCGGCTTGAGTAAAACTGCAAAGACTTTACTGTTTGTTTCCGACTTTTCTCTAAGAATAAATCACCTAATTATCTGCCACCATGCCTCACCTTTCCTGCCACTTAATCTGAGATCCTGAGTTCTGCTCTATCAGTGTTTTCCCTACAGTGTTCAGGTAAGGCAAAGGGCTCACATTCTCATCACTACCCTTGAAGGCTCCCTCACAGGCAATGTCACAGATCTCTACCCCTAGCTCCCGCCAGAGACCAGAGCTCACCTTTGTAAGTGCGATTGTCATCATCCATTTAGGTGTCTGAATCTTGTTGTGCTCAGTCCCTTAAGAATGGAGAGCCTCTTACTCCTCTCTGTGGCCCCAGGATATCAGAATGCTTGGTACTGGGCAGAAGTCATATGCATAATAAAAGAATGAGTGAATGAGCTGGGTGTGGTGGCACATGCCTCCCAGCGACTCAGGAGGCAGAAGCTAGAGAGGATCACAAGTTCAAAGCCACCCTCAGTAAATTATTGAGAACCTATCTGAAAATAATTTCTTTTAAAAAGAGCTGTGGATATAGTTCAGTGATAGATCTCCCTGAGTTCAACTTCCAGTACTACATGAGAAAGGAAAGAAAAAAAAAGAAGAAGAAAAATAGTGAATGAACCTATCAATTGGTCAATGAATTCAGTTATTCAGAAAGTATAATAAAACTCCAGCTACCCAGAGTCAATCAGTGAAGTTGCTCAGTGTTAATTGCAGGGGTTTGTAATCCCTTCCTGGTTTTCTCAAAACCTTTTTGTTGAATTTCTTGTTCTTTTTGATGCTCTTGACAGGGAAGTTTCTCAAGCAGTGAGTGAGAAGGGTTATGGGTACATAATCTACTAGTTCACTTACTAGGCAACTGCCTTCTATTAAATGCACTACCAGGTTATGTGCCTGGAGGAGTGTAAGAAATGTCTTCCTGCCCCCATTACGATTGCAGAAGCATATCTTCCTGTTCTTCAATTTCTATCCTCCTCATGCTGGCCCTGAAGGACACATATGTTTCTGGAAACATTGGCATGTGCTTGGTATCCCAGCAACTGAGGAGGCTGAAGCAGAAGGATCCCAAGTTCAAAGCCAGCCTCAGCAACTTAGTGAGGCCCTAAGCAACTCAGAGAGACCCTGTTTCTAAATAAAATACAAAAAAGGGCTGGGGATGGGGCTCACTGGTTGAGTGCCCCTGAGTTCAATCCTTGGTAATCCCCCAAAAAACTGGTAATGATGGGGATAGGTGGGTGACATGGAAGTGAGGAGTTCTGAGTGGTTTCAATTGATTTCCTGATGGAAATTACAGCTGCCTTCCATTGCTACCCAGCTCTTAAAATGTTTATGTATATTAAAGCAGCCCTTCCCTTTTTAATAGGCAGTCTCTCCTTTATGGATGGCTTCAATCCCAGTCCATTGCACCAATTTAGGATTCTGCATAGTAAAGTCAGTCCTCAATGTGAATCATTCAAGCAACATATTATCTTCAGAAGGTTTGAAACTCTAAGATGACTCGCTGCCTGTTTCCCCAAACTTCCATTCACACTCACCCCAACACCCCCCCACACACACCTATTTTCTCTCACCTATTTCCCTCACCTATTTTGACCTCAAGCAATGCAAATCAATTTATACTTAGCCTAAGAAAAAACTAATCGAATGTCAAATACATTGCCCCAAACACTCCAATCAAACATTTTGCTTGTATGTGAAGTGATGAAAATGAAATGAGTATATCAAGCACTTTAGGAGTTGTTTTAAAATTTCTGAGGCCAATATGGAACTCTTCTGTAAATAACTATTGCAGTACACTAAACAAGAGCCCTGGAGAGAGAAGAAATGTTTCTCTGAGAAGTGCCAGTTTACTCAGAGGAATAACTTCCCCAGGTTAACAACAATTAGCATGTAATCATTTTTACAGGTAGGGAATATTTTATCCTATATTAGGTCTGTTGTTTAATTGTGGGAAGCTGTGGGAAAAAATAAATTTGCAATTATTATTATCAATCTTTTTGATTCATATTAAAAATTTGGGCAGACAATGTATTCAACTGTGAGAACAAAGTGTTGATGAGGATGAGGTTCAATGCTGAAGACACATTTATTCCAAGAAGAAGACACATGAAAACAATCCATCAGAGTGAGTAATATAAACCCATTACAGATTCAAATTAATGAGATGAACACACTCTCCAGATCAATTAGGAAATTATTTACACATAGTGTAGTAATATTCAAATGAATCATCTCTGTGTGTGTGAATCCTGTCAAATACCAAGTCAAATATTAACTTTATGAAAACCCCTGGGATCTCCCAACAGGACCATCAAAGAAGTAAGAAAGAGTGTAAAAAATGCTCAATTGTAGGAAAGTTTGGCTTATTTCAGAAGCTGAAAGGATGTCGCTATTGATAGAAAATAGGGACAGTGGGAGCAAATGGGATTGCATGGTAATGGATGCAGTCTTTATTCTAGGATTATTAGAAAGCAATTGAAAAATTTAATCCAGGCTTGGTGGGGCCAGCAACACTGGAGGCTGAGGCAGGAGAATTGCAAGTTTGAGGCCAGCCTCAGCAATTTAGTGAGGCCCTGAACAACTTACTGAGATCCTGTCTCAAAATTTAAAAAAAAAAAAATTGAAAAAGGACTGGTAAGGAGCTGGGGATGTGGCTCAAGCGGTAGCGCGCTCACCTGGCATGCATGCGGACTGGTTTGGATCCTCAGCACCACATACAAACAAAGATGTGTCAGCCGAAAACTAAAAAATAAATATTAAAATTCTCTCTCTCTCTCTCTCTCTCTCTCTCTTAAAAAAAAAAAAGGACTGGTAATGTGGCTCAGTGGCTAAGCACCCCTGGATTAAACCCCTGGTCCCCCCAAAAAAAGTAATTGAAAAATTTTACTGTAGGGGGTATAGGTAGAGTGCAAATATGATCTTGCATTCTCAAAGATCATTCCTGCTGCACCTTAGAGGGAAATAAGAGTGGACATGTGCTGGGGATATAGCTCAGTTAGTAGAGTGCTTCCCCTCGCACTCACAAGGCTCTGGGTTCAATCCCCAGCACCACCAAAAAAATAAAAATAAAAGTGGATACTTGGGGCTGGGGATGTAGCTCAGTGCAGAGAGCATGCTTAGGCATACATGAGGCCCTGCGTTCAATCCCCTATACCAAAAGGGAAAAAAAAAAGTGAAAACAAGACCAGTTAATAAGCTTGTTGAGTTGTCTAAGTGAGAGATGATGGTAGCTAGTAATGTGGGAGTAGAGGTAGTAAAAACGAAACAGATTTACTACATTTTGGAGATAAAAATGTCAGGACTTGTTGATAAATGGGATTCAAAGGGTAAAGTTTGAAAAAGAAGTAGCAAGGCTATCTTCCACCGTTTGCACATCAGTAACCAGTTGGCTGGTCTTGACAGTGAGATGGGAAATCCTAGAGACTGAAAATAGCAGTTTGGGGTATTTTTCAAAAAAGAGATGTTTGTAGAATAAAAGGCTATCAAATATCAGCTCTGTGCTAAAATATCCAGGATTAATTTCAGTCTAATTAATCTGGCACACCCTTCTTGGGTCAAATGACAAATGAAATCATGAAGAAATATTTATGGAGGATATATTGTTTGGCCAGTACTACTTACGATCAATCTGGGGGCAAAATAAAGATCTGCAAATGTGAACACAAGCTTTTTGAAAGGCCAGTTTATTAACTAGCATTTTTATTGGCAGTATAGGACTTGGGAGAACAAACCACTTTTCAGTTAGGAATGATATTCTCGATTAAGTAACATAGTTGTTGATGAGAAAAAATTGAACAAACTAAATATTTCAGTAGATACAAAACTACATTGGATCATGGGTTTAATGTCAGAAATTGGAGAAAAGACTAGATTATGTGGCATGTAAAATACATATGGTGTTTTATTATGGTGTGTTATGTTTAAAACTCTAAGAGTTACAGTTTTTTTTGGGGGGGTACTAGGGATGGAACTCAGGGCCCCTTAACCACTGAGCCACATCTCTAGCCCAATTTTGTATTTTATTTAGAGACAGGGTCTCACTGAGCTACTTAGTGCCTTGTTTTTGCTGAGGCTGGCTTTGAACTCTCGATCCTACTGCCTCACCTAGGTTCTTTTTTTTTTTTTTTGCCATTTTTTTTTCTTTGGTAATATGAATTGAACCCAAGTTCACTTAACCACTGAGCCACATCCCCAGCCCTTTTTATATTTTAATTTGAGATAGGGTCTCACTAAATTGCTTAGGGCCTTGCTAAATTTCTGAGACTGGCTTTGAACTTGTGATCCTCCTACCTCAGCCTCCTGAGCTGCCAACATTACAACATGCACCACCATGCCCAGCTCAGTTTTTGACCTTAGGTAAAAATTCCCCTTCTTTTCTAGGTCTTAGTTTTCCCATTTGTAAAATGAGGGGCTTGGATTAAATAATGTCTAAGATTTGGTTCAACTTCAACACTCTGTGAGTCTAGGGCAGAAAAAGTCTAACTGGGAGTCTTCAGGCTAGGGATTGAGTTAGGTTACTATAACAAGTTTTTCCTAAGACAATAAAAAAGGAGATGAAATATACTCAACATAAAATGGTTTCTTAAAATTATACATTGTCAAACCAGAAGAGTTAGAAACAAGGAAATTAAAAGTTGTATTGTCAACATGAAATCCAGAAAAAAAGAAATTTATAGAAACAGAGAATAAGAATTTCTTGGAGTTTCTACTGCATAATCAAGAGAAAGTAGCCTATTTTATATAGCAGTTTCAGTTCTGTAGACAGAAATGAGCCAAAAGAAAATCTTTACGATTCCAGAGCTTGATGGAACCATCCTAGAAACCCAGTTTCCCTTACTATTGTGATTCTCTGCTCACAAGTTTCCAAGTGGTAGATTACATTACCACGTGGGGTACTCATCAGACAGCTGGTCTTATTTATCAGCCTAGGGGCCGTTCTCCTAGTAAACTAATTATCCAACTTTCTGATTTACATTTAGTCTCTTGTGGGGTTTTTTAAGAGTGAATTCATTCACTGGAACCAGAACACCCCTTGGTGACAAGAATAAAATGTGTTTCTGTACCCACAAGGATGAAAACCAGCCCCTGGAGCCAAAGTGGTCTCAAAGATATAGCAACCACAAAGTTTCAAAAAGGAAGTCAATATACCACATGAGTCAGAGTTCTTGTATATTTTGGTTGAGATGCAGCGTGTCATGGTGGTGGTTATTATTGTCACTACCTACTGACACCCTTTGGTTTCTCTAGCTTTTCGAGCATCCATAAACAGCATGCACATTCCAGTAGTACTGAGTTTCCCTAACCCTTCAAACAGTGAGAAAAACACACTATATAACAGTAAAAATCAACAGACAATTTTATTCTCAAAATGGAAAAAGCACTTGGCAGATTTCATTAACTCATCCTCACCACATTCCTTGGAGGTAAACGTCATCCTCGTTTTCTAGATGATAAACCAAAACTTATCCAGTGTACTAGGAAAGTCTTAGTGTAGGTATTAAATTGAGCTCAGCTATATTCCTCTTTCTTACTTAAATTTCATAATTTCTTTTTACAGAACAGC